TAGTAACTTTTGTAAGAGCTTACTTGACATCACACACAGATCAGTAGGGCTTTCGAAGCATAGAATGAAGATATTTAGTTATTCTTATTGTAAGAAAGTGAAATGTGAAACTTTTATCCAAAGATTATAATTATCACCACATTCACTTGATAAAAAAATTAATTTATCAACTCGACAATTTGCATGCAGGCAAAGTTCAGTGAGGCGATAGAATAAGCATATGTGCATGGTAGTGCATCTGTTAGGGTTACGACATTCGATGAAAAGATCCAAGAGATGATAGCGGAGGAGAATGATAAGATTTCTCCCTACAACGAGATATGGAGTAATTGGTGATAGTTAGGAACAAGTAAGTGAAGCAGTGATCGAGCCTAACCGATTAATTTCTGTTATCAGAGCAAAGATGCAATCATAGATCATTTTCAAGAAAATGATATTTTTACATGTCAAAGCAAATTTTTAACATTTTGGAGTTTGTTGTTAAATAGTTCTAATTCCCCGTTGTTGTGCAGGGTCGAATAGCCCGATCTCTGTTGACAGATGACCTTCTTCTATGAGGATGCATGGATACTGCCGGACATTTTAGATGTTATATTCATCTTGGTGACTTGCAGTAGAATGCAGAATGTCCGTTTCATCCTATTTAGAATTCATCATCTAGATGAACCTTCACCCCAGTAGATGATGTTGTTCCCGATAAAGTGCTTATCCCGGTTTCCACTATGAGCCACTAAGCTGAATCCTAGAGTTTGATTCATGTTGCTCGGAAGACAGATTAGAAGAAAGGATGAATAGCTAGGATTTCATACGATAAGAACAGTAAAATCAAGAATGTTATGCTGTGAACAAATGCTGAACAAGTCTAATGGTACCAGTCATCAGTATCCCTAAGACGCATGCTCTTCCTGTAGCTCAAAATAACATATGTTCAGCGTAATACACTTAGACTGAAAATGATAACATGCATCTGGTTGTTTTAAATCTTTGTGCCACGTTATAAATTGCTGTAGCAGTAGAAACATCATACACAGAGAATTTCATGGAGGTAAAGTGTTTTAAATAGGTGTAAGTGTTTGACTGCTTTCGTGATGACTAGCAAGTCCTCATAAGGTTCTCGAGTCACAGTGAATGTTATGTACCTAGTTGTAACCCGATTGTGAGGTTCAATTGTAGTTTTCGCTGCACGATAAACATCTATGAACCACAAATTATGACCTACTGAGGGACAAAGTGGGTTTAAGAACACAAACTATTTATCGGCAAGATCGAGAGGATTCGAATTTCGGACGACAGTTCCAGTGGTTTAGGATGGAGTAAACCTCGCCTGGTTAACTAGTTCAACAGTTACTAGCCGGTCCTAAGCCCGGGTAAAGAGGGAAGGTTGGGCATAGGGCTACCAACCCTACCCCGGAAAACAAATCCAGCCGCTAAAGAAACTTCAAAGCACAAACGAAATATAAAAAATGAAAACAAAATTATTCCTTGCTGGAATCGGAGGGGCGGAATGACGCCAGTTGGTGAAAGCCTTCAGGAAGCCAACTGGCTAATGTGTTTTCCCTCGATGAAAGCGAAAGTAAGGATGGGAGACATGGAATGTCCGCACGATGTTTGAACCCAGCAAGACAGCCCAGATTGCAAACGAGATGAAGACGTATCACAGTGAAGTGCTTGGAATTTGCGAAAGCAGATAAGATGGAAGTGGACTATCCAAGCTGTCAACTGGAGAGGAGTCAATAATCTACTCCGACACTGTCACCCAGACGACAACCACGAGCACACTGAGGGAGTGGCTATCATGATGTCCCCAAGAGCATCGAAGGCTCTCATGCAGTGGGAACCAATCTCCTCCAAGATCATGACGGCAAGATAGATTCAACTCAAAAGGAAGGAAGGTCACAATCATACAATGCTACACTATGCACCTACAAATAATGCAGAGCAAGAGAAAAAGGAGGAATTCTACAGACAACTTCAATCAACACTGGACAAGACCCCATCTCAGTTGGCGATATCAAAATTCTAATGGGTGGGGCGACATGAATGCCAAACTGGGAGGGGACAACACAATAAGAGAACTAACCATGGGTCGAGAAGCGCTAGGTGAGGTGATGAACGAGAATGGAGAATTGTTTGCAGAATTCGGCGCATTCAGCGATTTGGTGATTGGAGTGAGGCAGTGTGTTCAAGCACAAAGATATCCACAAAGCGACATGGATTTCACCAGATGGACACACTGAAAATCAAATCGACTTTATCTCAATCTCAAGAAAATGGAGACGCAGCCAGCCTACTTGACACAAGGTCAAGAAGAGGAGCAGATGTAGGTTCACACCACTCACTGTCTAGTGCAAGGAACCTTCCAAATCAAGTTAAAAGCCTTCAAGGAAGCTGGTGATAGACCTCAATTCAAGTACAACACTCGGAAACTGAAGGATGAAACTACAAAGGAGGTCTTCAAGGCAGACATCAAGACAAAATGGGAGACATCGAGCAACATCTCTGAAGAAACCTGTGTGGAAGAACACTGGAAGTCTTTGAAAGCTATGTGGAAAGAAACCTGCACAACAGTATTAGGAAGGAAAAGGAAAGGGGAAGACAAGGAATGGATCTCGACGGATACATGGAAGCTGATAGAGGAGAGGCGGATGGTGAAGCAGAAGATAAACCAGTGCAAGGATGCTCAACGACAAGAGGAACTGGGCACAATGTATAAAACACTGAACAAAGAAGTGAAGAAGAGTGCACGGAAAGACAAAAGACACTTCTACGACACACTTGGAAGTAAAGCAGAACAGGCTGCAGGTAGGAGAGACCTGGAAACATTGCATCAAATAACTAGGTTACTAATGGGAATAGATCCACGCAGGCGAAAGCAATAAAAGATGAAGAAGGAAATTTAATTACAAAAGAAGAGAAACAGAGGAAACAATGGGCCAACCACTTCAAGAAGCTCTTGAATCGACCACCACCTGCACTTCGTCCAGAAATACCACCTGCAGCCGCTGAACTACAAGTGAACATAAATCCCCCAACGAAAATGGAAGTCCTGAACGCCATAAAGCTACTGAAATGCGGGAAAGCAGCAGGACCAGATGGAATACCGCCAGAAGCACTGAAAACAGATGCAGAGACAACAGCGGACATGCTCACACCACTATTGCAGAAGGTGTGGAAGGAAGAGAAGGTACCTGACGATTGGAAGAAGGGTTACCTTGTCAAACTGCCGAAGAAGGGAGACCTCAGTGCTTGCAAGAACTGGCGCGGAATCACTCTCCTGTCCACCCCAAGTAAAATATTAAGCCGCATCATCCTAGAGAGGCTTAAAGACGCACTGGATCCAAAACTGCGACCGGAACAGGCAGGCTTCAGGAAGTACAAATCATGTGCGGACCAAATTGAAACGCTTCGCATCATCATAGAACAGAGCATAGAATGGCAATCAGCTCTCTACCTCAACTTTATCGACTTTGAAGAGGCCGGCTTTCGACAGCGTCAACCGAGAAGTAAGTTAGCAGGCAGCTGCTTCAACATTACGGAGTGCCACAAATCTTTGTCAATGTCATTCAACAGCTGTATGACGACGCCACATACCAGCCAAGTAATTCACAATGGAAAGCTCAGTGATGCTTTTGAAGTGAAGACAGGAGACAGGAGTGAAACAGGGTTGCCTACTATCCTCTATGATATTCCTGATTGTGGTCGACTGGACTAGATCATGCAGCAAACAGTGGGGAGCGAGAAGAGTGGGATACACTGGACCGCAGAAAAGAAGCTAGAAGATCTGGATTTCACCAGTGATGACTTGTGTCTGATGTCACATAAACTTGAAGATCTACAGGCAAAAACTAACAAGTTGATGGAAGAGGCAGCGAAGACAGGACTCCAAGTGAATATAGAGAAGACAGAGGTGATGAAGATACCTAACCAACAACAACAAACTCCAATCACCATCAACCGGAGAAACTTAAAGGAAGTAACCTCCTTCACCTATCTAGGAAGCACTGTTTCAACTACAGGCGGCAGTGGCACAGACGAGGATGTCGAAGTCAGCCAGGATCGGAAAAGCAAGACAGGCTTTCATTAGCCTGAAACCAGTGTGGAGATCTTCTGAACTCAGCATGTGGAACAAGATATGGATTTTCAACACCGATCCAGTGAAGTCAGTGCTCCTGTATGGTTCAGAGACTTGGCGCATCACGAAAGGGATTTCCAATAAACTACAGACATTCATCAACAACTGCTTACGTTGGCTCGTTACTGAAGATCAGATGGCCAGAAAGAATAAGCAACAAGGAGCTCTGGGAACGAACCAACCAAGAATCTATCTTCCAACAAATATGCAGGATGAAGTGGAGATGGATTGGGCATGCACTGAGAAGGCCGACTGGGGATATCACGCGCCAGGCCCTCGAGTGGAATCCGCATGGGAAGCGACGAGTTGGGCGTCGGAGGTGAGGAGGATATCATATGAGGAGGAAATGAGAGCTTGTGGGCTGTCATGGAGCCAGGTTCAAAAGATTTCAGAGAAGAGAGTACACTGGAGACGTGCTACTGAAGCCCTATGTTCCATTAGGAACCCAAGGGACTAATAATAATAATAATAAACCATTCGTAACCATTTGTAGAATTCCCAGTCCATGGTAGGAATAGTAAAACTCGGTGTCGCCCAATTATTGGGTGAATCAATTCAGATGCAGTCTGATGATAAACTAGATATCACACTACCAAAAAGATAATCCAGTGTTTCAGTGTGACTAATAAGCAGGTTTTCTGATCAGTATTATTTCACGTGCAACAGGTAGTTTTGTCTGTTCAGTCTAACTGAACTGACTTACTTCCTCAAATAATTTCATACATAGATTTCAGAAATGCCTAATACTGAGCGAAAGAAAATTGACGCATTCATCATGAGTATGTATGAGGACATCAAATAAAGTAGTCATGAAACAATAAATGTAGATAAACAGCAGTGCAATATGTTATTTCATAAAATGACTTACTCTCTAGTACTTGTCACATTTGTTAATAAGATGAAATTTGTTCGAACCTTCCGCAGACTAGCCAAAATTTGAGCAAACGGTGTTACGATGGCTCATCAATTTGACTGAAAATGCAAAGAGAACCACGTCTTAGAACGGTATTTCTAGAATTTGGGGAGTGTTCAAAAGTATCTAAAAGATTTCGCTTTCTTGGATCAGTATAAGCATCAGGACTACGTGCATTTATGTGCATCAGTACAGAATTCCTTGAAAAAGGCAGTTGACCCAAACTGTCCTCTGATCTTTCAGAACAACTTTCATGGCTATTATCTTTAGAGGTGATAATATTCTCACGTGAAGATTTGGCGGGTGAAAATAATTTTGAATTTTTGATACGTTTAAAAGATGACTTAGGCTTACAATCAGTGCGTAGATCGGATGTTGTGAGTAACATGTTGGCTTTATCATCTTCTGTGTGAGATTTTTGTGAATCCAAAGAGATAATACTTTCTTTGGATTTACGAAAGCGTTTTAAAGGTTTAACTTTTAGAAGACTAAGTCTTTTCTTAAGTGGTAATTTTTTCCCATCGTCAACACCTCGCATAACTTCTGATTTTCTAGCTTGACGTGCTTTACTAGCTTCTGGTAAGTATTTCCCACAATAAGTTGGGATAAGACTATGAGCCCTTCGTTTGCCTAAAACACTGCCTCTATGCTCGATGTCTGTTTTTACATCATTAACTAGAAATGTTTTGCATAAAAGGCTGGATGAAAATTGATCATCAAGACATAGGCTTTCCGACTCAGCTAATTTCGCTGTGGTTTCCACCATGATAGTTGGCCTACGTCCAGTTTCATAGTCAATTTGCAAGCTAGGCCTGTGATTTGACAAATTATTCAGTGAACTTCGGGCAAGGTGTGTTGAGGGTATCACAACATCCGGCAGGCTTCTTCTCTCTTGCCTAGGATAGCATCCATTCCCATTGCTATCATGTGAATCGCTTCTTAATTTAGTAGGGACAACTGGATCATTCTGTACTTTGTGGTTGTGATCTTCATTGACCTCATCATCTCTGTCAGCATTTTCATCACTAGTTTGACCACGAAGGTATTTCTGTTTATGGTGTTTTGACTTATCCGTCGATCGTTTTCCTTTCGATTCCTGTTTACGGCAACAAACTATCCACATTATGAGTTCCAGTTTATGTTTGTAAGTGCAGTGTAGTGTTGTTATTATTGGAATTATTCTTATTCCTGTCGCATAGACATCACATTAGAAGTGGTAACAATCAATCAAATTTCCATGACAAGTATACTGACAATTTGTGCATAAGGTGTAGATTTTCCAGTGAGATTTTTTATCAACTACAGACCGGATTATATAAATCCACCGGTTTAGAAAGAAACTTTGTTGTGTTAGAAATATTATCGGTGACACTAATAAGTTCACAAGATAACATTTTTTATGGAAAAATGTAATTGTTATTTTTATTATTCCCGAAACAAAGATCAAAACAATTTTCTTTGTATATTCTTCCCTTGTGTTTCTTTTTTTTATCTGAAAACAATTCAACCGACTAGAATGTCTAACCTCATAACGATTGGCTACTAATGTTTAAACTGGTTTGCCCATCTTCTTACCTGGAAAGTCTGTCATTTAATTATCGACCAACTGCCAATCTATCCTATATAATATTGTTCAAATTCACTTCACTACCTGTCTGACCTTCATAAAAGAACCAATCACATTTGAGATTTGCCCACTCGTGTTAAAAATGAAAGAATCAGTATTCCTGTAACATACTGGGCCGACCGAACTCAAGTTCAGGTTGATGTCAGTGGCATTTATGGTTAGCTCGTTATTGAGTGTTTTCGTCGGAAAGAAGAGAGAATGAACTGAATTTGGGGAGACCAGATAAAGTCACTAGAGGTGAGATATAAATTTCACTGCATTCTATAGGTATGCTTAAGAATATATAGTACGGAGCAGCATAATCTGCAATGCCCATCGTGCACTAAGCAGTTTCAATGCAATAACAATATGAATCAAAGGCCACATAGAAATTCTTCTTCTGAGGAATGAGTCTCACTTACTGTAGAAGGGCAAATGAACCATATGAACTCTAAATCTGTTGTATGTAGAAGGGGGTTCGAACTAAAGACTCAGTGATTAAAGTTTGAGTGCATAACGCAATGGGTTATAGCGCAATATTTACGTCCAGTTTTACTAGTGAAAATATGATATATTTTGATAAAAGATAAGAAATTACCTGAGCAATAACTGAAGAATACTTGGCTTAACGTTTGGAAATGACTAAGTGAAGTATTGGTTTAGTTTCGTGGAACATGGAAACGAAAAGTGACCTTGGGGTATTTCAAACTATTGGTGATTGTTTTTAAATATCGATAGGCAAATTATTGATCTTTACGAATAGCATGCAACCTTTGTATTTTGAAGACATTTTATTCCAGAAGCTGGACTGTTTGTTTGAGATTTAAGTCATCTAGTTCGACACAATAGAAATGACGATGATATGAATAATCTAGTGGAATAGAGAAATCAGCTGTCTATGCGTCCTTTTGTCAAACTTGTATTTTTATGAAATAAGAAGGGAATACATGTTTCATTTCAGCTAGTTATGAACCTAAAGTTTTCAACCTCAGTGCCAAATCCGTTAAAATTCACTAGACAAATATGTCTACGGCCTCAAGATGATTCCGATTCACTCATTGGAGTTGTTCAGCGTTTTACTCAGAGACTTTACTTCCGATGTATCCCAACTACTACTATTCACCTGCTTTTAATTGGCAACGGATTGCAAATGTTTAACCAGCTGTTGGTGGGGTTACCTAAGGAAGTCATGATTTCTATCGATTGGCCACTGGAAGGTAATCAACTTTATGTTGTCTAGTCCTATATGCAGAATGAATTCTATCGATCATTTTGTGATGTGACCACCGGCTAGGATGCTCATCATCATGGTGCAGTTTTAATGCATGTTAGTCTGTAGGCAGGAAGCCCTGGACCTAGTTTTTATACTTGTTAGCACCCGTCAGCAAGGCGTAGCAGAAACCAAGAACGAAATGATGTTCCCTCCGAGATGCAAGTGCACGTTACGCAGTGATGAAGACAGTGACATTGCCACTGAACCCTCCAGGCCGCGACTGACTTTGTACGCTCTTTATGGAACATAACCTATAGAATCGAGGACTGAAACAATGAAGTAGCTGAGGTTGAAAAATGCAAACTGTTTCTCAGCAGGATTCTTGACGGCAGTTTCTATGTAGTACATTAAAGGTAAACAGGATCCTCAGTGTTAAAAAGTTGTAGGATACGTTTTGAAATCACTACGGTTATACTACAACAGGGAAGTAAACAAAATGGTTCCTTTCTGAAAAACGATAGCAATATTTGGTTGTATTGAAGTTAAACTTTGCTTTTATTCACGAGTGAACATTTTCGCATACAATCTGGAGGTCTGTCGAGATTTAATAATTGACTTCAGATTGGAGTTAATCATGGACTGACATCATTTGGAGGAGTATTGGAAACCTGGGGCACTGGACAACTGTTTTGCCTTAGTATGAGACTCCTTCGCAGTGCGCACCCATGACCCCTCCAGGGACTGAGCCCAGGATCCTCAGGTTCCACGACCAGCATGTCATCACTGAGCCACTGCATCGGAGTCCGGTGGTCTATATTTCTTACTTCTGTCATTTCATCATATAGCGACCCTCCATCCAATCGTTGAGTAACTATCCTCGTGTTCAACATAGTTGGCTCCACTGGTCACGACTTCTCACTGGAACTTCGGAGATCAACTCTCGAAGCTAGTCACCAATGAGCACCAGATTCCCATACGTTTGGTAAAAAACGTTCGTTTTACTGTTCCTAACCAGAACCAACTAAAACTAACAACCAAAGATTAATGGATACGAGAAAATATGCATTTACCACAGATAATTAATAGCCACGCTTGATGTTAATAGCAAGAAAATTGTAGATCAAGGGGGTTATGTGTAACCTGAGTAAATAAAAGTTGTCTGTTCTCTAGATATACATAATAGTAATGAATTATTTCATCCCAGAAGCATAGATATCATAGCTAATTGTGCATTAAAGTGACTTTTAGATATTTAGCCGAGATGTGCAACATTCATTGTAGGCTTAAAATTACACTAATTTATCTTCGGAAAATACCCAGTGTCAAACCATCCGATTAGAAACGCCTCAAATAGAAACCAACATTTTAAGTCATTAGCCACTAGGGTAGAAGTTTTAGATTTCAAACTGTTTCGTGTTACTATGTAGTCAGGAAAAACCTCATTAGACAGTTTTGTCCTACAGCTGACCAATCAAAATAAATATCTGACTTTTGACCTAGTGGCTTGATACGTTTATGAAAACTGTATGTAAGTGGTGTAGCTTTGCTATATAAAGCGAGTCTTCGTCTTCTGATTTTCGCAGCTCAGCGAAGTATAAGGTTCTGAGGGATAAAAGTCACAATTCATACTCAGTTCACGTGTCTCATCACGCTATTATACATCGCGTATTTATTATTATCCACTCGCTCACTACACCGTTTGCTCATCATTACATCATTGTTAGGTATACTGACAGAAACTCGTAGTGTATTGTGACTATTGGGTTATTGAAAGTAATCGACGAGATAATCTTCATCTAACGTTGGTAGCTACTGATATTTATAAAGGAATGTATCTTTAGCAGCATGAACAGCTGCACCTTCAAAGATCGATAGGCAGTTTTAGACTAAAGTGTTTTGATTATTAGAAGGACCTCTCTGCAACTGCTTCATTTGTGCGAAGTTATAAACAGATATTCTGGTGCACAATATATATATATATATATATATATATATATACTGGGACTGCAAGTTAAACAAAATATCTATTCGAGAATAGGACCGAACAATCTTTAATAACTAGGATCAGATCTCATTAGGAAAAAGGTTAGGGAAATCGGTATAATCGATAGTCTACTTCCAATTTTGCAGAATATGTATGACCTTTTCTTGTGCTGTCATGTCAGGACCGTTGCTGACAAACTAGTCTCCCGACCCACATACTTTTTCTTTTCCTAAGTTAAATGGGAAAAATTAGTAAGAAAGTCTTTTTATGACAAGAAAACTGTTAGTAAAGGTGAACATTTTTCTAAGATTTCATTTTTACTGTTTCTTCTTATACTGACTCGGTAACTTTTCAAATGTCATCTGTCATATTTACCATGACGATTGTTTACCATAGGATACAACTATTGATATTTATGTTTTTATCATATATATTGGCCAACTTAAAAATTCTTTCATGAATATGACCCGATTAGGGTTTTTTTCACCTTACTAAGTTAGAAAGTTAAGGTTGTTTATCAGGAGAATACTTCATTCAGGGATAAAAAATTTCTGCAGATATTTTTATTATGAATTGATATCAGGTGTAAACGTCCTTGAAAAACTGGTAACCAATAAAAATGTCATTAATTTACAGATGATTGATGAGTTGCACCGTTTAAATTCCTATTTGTTCCGGTTGAGTGATTTTTCTACTACCTAGCTGTGGTATCAACAGGGTTCCCGTTGGAGACCAGTCAGCCAAGGTCACAAGGTGTGATCTTTGAGACAAAAGTGTCATACACTAAACAAGAACATGAGTATTTAGAAAGCATTCAAGCTGATCAGTAGGTTTCGTCAACGTGATCAGAGTGATCTAAGCACCTGACGGTTGTTTTGCTCGTCTGCAGCGGAGCTAATGAGTGGTGTTCCCGGTTTACAGAGTCTAACTAAATATTCATATTGTCCAATAACATTTTTCATTAGTTCATGACAATATCGTGTCAGAGATCACATATCTCATGTCCTCAGATGAGTGGTTTCTAACGGAAACCCTGCTAACACCAGAGTTGAAAAACTATTCAACTATGAGAAATGTGGACTGGGACCTTGCAATTTGTAAATTATTTGCATTTGAGACTCGGACTGCAAGTCACTATCCATCATTAATATCTATATATTGAAAATATCGACGATGTCCACGCATCCATACAAGTGTCCATATGGCAGTGATAGCCCATCAATTAGGTCTAATCAGAGACAAAGTTTCATAAGATATAACATCCGCACAATTATTACATGTAATTTATAAGACAATTTATCCGAAACTTATTTTTATGGT